TCATTTTTTTATTTTTTTTTTTGTTTATTTATTATATAAAGTAACAAAAAAAAAAAAAAGAAAAAGACAAAAAAAAAAAAAAAAAAAAAAAAAAAAAAAAAAAAAAAAAAAAAAAAAAAAAAAAAAAATAAGTATAGGCAAAAACAAACAAAAAAAGAAAATAAAACAAACAGAAATTTTCTTTTTGATGTAAAAAAAAAAAAGGAAAATAAAAACCCAAAGTAGTTTTATCCAAAAACAAGCTTAGAAGTAAGCACTATCATTAAAAATTATATATACTGTTACTACTCATATATATATCTCTGTAGTATTAACTAATTCTATTAAGTCTATTCCTTACTCGTTTAAAGAGCATGACTTCACATAATCCTCTAATGAAGATGTTAATAGATATTAACTTGTAGCATATAGCTATATATATTTGCAAGTTGTTATTATTTGGTAGCATACAATGTGACTTTCCCAAAATAGATATAGTATGAATATAGATCTTTTAGCAGAAGTAAGCCTCATTCCTACTTTTTGTTGTCGAGAAACAAAGAAAAATAATTCTAAGTCTAAAAGTCTAGTTGTTATAAATAAAGGAAGTAGTTTTTCAAACAAACAAAACTAAGAAAGTAGTTATATGCTTGACCTAGTACAAGTATAGTTAGAGTTCTTCTTATACTTCTTCTTTTTACTATCAACACCTTTCTACTATACTAACTTAAAGTCATCTTGTCAAAGTTAGATAGCCAAAAGGCCTAGTATAACCTTGAAACTGACTTGTTGTAATTCTTGCTACTGGCTTATTGTAGTCTCATAGTTTATTTCTCATGTAGTCAGTTACTTTAAGTAGTTTTACTAAGTAGTAGTATAAGAAAAAAAATTTTTATTGTCTTGTTGTTTTGGTTTTGATAATTGTTAGAAAAAGTTATATATTATCATTTGATTAACTAAGATATTAACTAAGATATTAACTAAGATATTAACTAAGATATTAACCAAAATATTAACCAAAATATTAACTAAAATATTAATCAAAATATTAATCAAGATATTAATTAAGATATTAATCAAGATATTAACCAAGATATTAATCAAGATATTAATCAAGATATTAGCTAAGATATTGATTAAAATATTAACCAAGATATTAATTAAGATATTAACCAAGATATTAACCAAAATATTAATCAAAATATTAACCAAGATATTAATTAAAATATTAACAAAGATATTGATCAAGATATTAACCAAGAGATTAATTAAGATATTAATTTTATATTTAAAGAATTATATGAACAAATAATTCATATAATAAGAAATAATATAACAAATTTTACAGAACAATCTTTAACTTTGCTTATTAAGATTGTACAAATATTTATACATAATTTTAAAACTAATTCTAAATTATTACAAAGTCAATTATTATTTTTAGATACTATTATTCAAATGGATTATAATGAATTATTATTAGCTTCTTCTTTAATGGAAACTATGAGATATGAAAAAGGCCCGAATGAAGGCAAACTTCTTTCAAAATATTTACAACATAAAGCAATAAATTTTATAAAAAATTCATTTTGCCAAGTAAATCATAATATTGAAGAATGTGCTGCTAATATTAAGAAATATAATAAAACTATAGAAACTTTAACAAAGAAATTAAATATAATTAAAGCTGAAAATAAATCATTACATGGACGTATTGGAAAATTTTTGCAAATTCGCAAGCAACATATATCAAAAATACGTTCTAATGCTAGTAAATATCCTACAATAATCCTTATGGGATGCATAAAGTTGGCCAATGTTATCTTAATGGAATTGGAATTGAAAAAAATGAACTTCAGGCATTTACTTGGTATAGAAAATCCGCAAATGAGGGAAATTCTGACGGAATGTATCAAGTTGGGGTTTGTTATGACTTAGGAATTGGAGTTGAAACCGATAAGCAAAAGGCATTTGAACACTACAAAAGTTCTGCTAAGGCAGGCAATTCAAAAGGATTCTCTAGGATAATCGAGTTATCTGACGAAATGGGACGTGCTGATGGAATGATTCAAGTTGGTGATTGCTATCTTAACGGAATTGGGGTTGAAAAGAATGAACACCAAGCATTTATTTGGTATAAAAAATCAGCAAAGAAAGGAGATTCTAACGGGATAAATTATGTTGGCTATTGTTACGAACATGGAATTGGGGTAGAAAAGGATGAAAATAAAGAATTTGCTTGGTATAGAAAAGCAGCAAAAATCGAAAAAGATAAACACCAGACAGATAAGGGAGGTTTTGGTAAAATGCTTCAAGATGGCTATCGTTATCTAAATAGAATCGGAACTAAAACGGATAAAGATAAGGAGACAATCACACATCATCAAGAATCTGCAAACATGAATAATTCTAACGGAATGTTTCAAGTTGGCTTTTGCTATTACCATGGAATTGGAGTTAAAATGAATAAACAACAGGCATTTAAATATTACTTAAAATCAGCTGAAATGGGTAATTCTATCGGAATCTTTAAAACTGCCATTTGTTACTATTACGGAATTGGCGTGGAAAAGAGTCATAGTAAATTTCGTGAATGGAATGAAGAGTAAGATAATTTTTAATTTTTATTATAATATTTTATAATTTTAATGTCACTTATACAATTTTTAATTATCAGGAAGTAAGAATAAAAGAATATTATTTATATATTAAAAGTCTGTATGCAATTCACATTTATAAATGCTTTTTTTTTTATTTTTTGCGTAAATTTAGCCCGTGAGTATCAAGAAAACATATTTATTATTCGATGAGCAAATTATTTTTAAATATTAATTATATATAATAAATATACTTTACAATTAATTAATTAATTATTTTTTATTAATTTAGTATGTAAGTATGAAGATAATTCATGAACATTCATAAATACTTATCTATAAATACATATTTACAATTAATTACCTAATACCCTTCAAATAGGTCGTGAGTATAAAGATGATTTATTAACGTTAATCAGTTTCATTAAAATCATGAACATAACTTATCTCTAAATACTTATTTACAATTAATTACCTAATATCCTTCAAATAGTATGTGAGTATAAAGATGATTTATTAACATTAATCAGTTTCATTAAATCATGAACATAAATACTTATTTATAAATACTTAACTCTAAATATTTATTTACAATTAATTACCTAATATCCTTCAAATAGTGTTTAAGTGTAAAGATGATTTATTAAAGTTAATTAGTTTCATTAAAATCATGAACATAAATACTTATTCATAAATACTTATCTTCTAAATACTTATTTACAATTAATTACCTAATACCCTTCAAATCATTTCATTCAGTTAGTGAGTATCAAGATAATTTATTAACGTTAATCAGTTTCATTAAAATCATGAACATAAATACTTATTCATAAATACTTAATTCTAAATACTTACTTACAATTAATTACCTAATACCCTTCAA